GAAATTATTTGATATTATTGCATTTTGAATATTGAAAGACTACATACTGTATTTAGAGTTGTAGAAGTCCAAATCCAATTAGGATAAGAATTCTTAAACCTCCAGCTTAACTATTCCTATTTAGAATAGGAAAACCTATAACTATTCCTTTTCAGGAATAGAAAACCTAATAACTTCAGGACTAAGAAAATAAAATACTAAACAAAAATAAAGCCTAGACCTAGACAGATTTTCAGATTTCCAGAAAACCTAAAAAGTACTAAAATACCCGTGCATTCTATAATTAAAATAAAACACGTAAATTTTAGTCTTTTATGGTCTGCATCAGGGTAACTCTGAAAGAGACCTGCTGGTACTCGCTTCAAGAGCAACTTTTTCTAGTTATTTGTGTTATCTTGTTAGCAACAGCCAATATTTTATTGATGCAATGCAATATGCAAGAATAATTAGTTTGTTACGTGTTCCAGATTATTGAGCAAAGCAAATTTCGCATCCTTTCTTTGAAGCCAGAGCAGAACATACCTATCATCAGGTATCTACATACAGATTAATGGTAAACTTTTCTGCTTTGTGGAAAAATAAGGAATTAAGCTTTCATGCAGATTGCTTGGTTATCTAGTCCAGAGTTATCCTTACCTGATGCTGGAACATATTTCCCGTCTGAAGGAATTGTTGGATTATTTTGTTTTTATGCATGACAAGGTTGCCACTCATCTTGTTGCTGCTCTTATGCCTCTCATCAATCTTAGTTGTGATCTTCAAGTAAGCATTTTCTCATATTCAGTACTTTCATGTTTCTCTCCTAAGAAGAGATACTTTCTTTCGGATGTCACTTGCCATTGGCTGGGTGAATAAAAGCTTCTCCAACTTCAATTGTATTATTTTTTGGCTTGACTGTACCAACCGAACAGAGATCTAGCGAAAAGAATTAATCAATGACTAAAACTAGGACAAACATGTGAAATAATATATCTATATTTTGTTTCATATCAAACCATATGTGAACGTGAAATCCATAGGTGTGCAGGTTTGGAACATGTTCAAGGTGCTTTCTATTTAAAACCTCTCGCTATTCAATTCCTTGAAGTTTTAGCTTTCTTGTTTTCCAATAATGCAGAATTACACAATTTTGGTTGTCCGCAAGGCCATGTTTAGACGAGAAGATGCAGTTCGCCTTTCTGCAACAAATGCCATTTTCAATCTTACACTTGCAGAAAAGGAAGCCAAGAGAGATGGGTCCTTTTCTTTTCAAGACTCATCAAGCCAAGCAAGTTGCAGCCAACAAGCTGAGATACCAGGCATCGTGGATGGAGGTCTCTTCCAGGAGCTAAGTGGTTTGCTGCAGAGATGTCTTTATCAGCAGGTCATTTCTACGTGCCTATTATCATGTTTCATTTCATTTCATTTTAGTCTCTTCAATTTCTCCTCTAAATAAAGTTGGATTGCTGTCTTCAGGCTGAAATCAAGGAAGTTATGTATCATGGTCTTTTGAAGCTTGTCTTGGCAGACCCATCAAGTGCGGGACCTATACTTGATTTTCTGTTGCCCCACTTTCTTTGTTTTTTCAAGGAGGTAGTTACTCAGTACATATCATCCTTATTTTAAATCATGTTAAGGTGGAATCCCACACGCCAACCTTCTATCCTTTATTAAGCTTTTGGTTTGTTATGTAAGTTCAGGGAAGGAAAACTCATAGATTCTGACTTCACAGGTCTTTGTTATTTTAAGTAACAGGATATTGAATTCCTTACCTGACATGAATCATGTTAAAAGCAGGATGCAGATGTTCAACTTGAAATAAGTCGTTGCACTAAATCACTGAGTGGCAATGTTGTCATTGAAGAGCCTCTAGATGCTCTACTATCTTGTGTTTCTTTGATTTTACTCCAGCCACATGGTAAAGCTGACTGTCCAGACTCCACATGGCCATGTTTTGGTTTTTCCTTTTCTCAAGAGAATGAGGTAAATTCCTTTATCAATAGAACTATTTATTGCTATTTTCCTTAAATGCAATCACAATAGAGAAAAATGATTAATAAAACATCAATTTAAATTTTGCAGCTAGGAAGTAATCTCTCTCGTGAATCATTTTCCAATGCTTTGTTAAAGATCCAGAAGTTCCTAAAGAAGGGAAATTTGGAAGGTATGTACGTATTTTTCCCAACATTATATTTTCTTTGTTTCAGATCGAGTTCCTATATTTGTGGACTTGCCGATGTTGTTATACTTCTATAGTAGCTTTACTTTGGTAAAAGTAGGAAAATTCTGATTATTGGTTTTCCTCTTATCATATTGGATTAGACTTTCTGAGTCATATTCTGGGTGATAGCTCCACATCTGTTCAAGAAGAGAAAAGAAAATGCTGTGCATTGATTTTAGCAGGCATCATTGAAGTAATACTGAACACTATTGCAACCAAGTTGAAGAAAGCAAAAGACATAGAGAGAGCGGATCTCGAAAAGGAACTTGTTGAGTTTGTTAATCTTCACGAGTCAGTGGAAAAGGATTTGAGTGCAAGGTTGAGCATTGGTATCAAAAGGGGGAATGTGCAAGCTACTGCTCCTGGTCCGGCTAGTAATATTGATCTTGGCAACAATAGATTGACTCAAGAACGAATTCCTTACTTGACAACTTCAAGCCTCTGTCAGCTAATGCAAACAGCACTTAAGCTGTACGATGTTGGATGCTCTAAAACTATTGCAGCGTCCCAGAACCATAGGCAGTTGTCATCAAGCAAGCCATTAAAATGCCTTAAGATTGTGGCTTTTGTCTTGAATAGTTCCCTTCATCACATAAAATCTTACCTGAATGTGGCAAAAGAAAATCCTTTGAGGACTTTGATATATGGGGAAATTAAATTGATGGGACCTCCTTTGCTGAAGTTAATATTTTTGCTCAAATCAGGAAAGAAGTTTGTGACAGATGAAAAGAAAAAAGAGGAAAAGAGAAGAAAAGATGTTGAAGATAGAAAAGAACATCTACATCTAGCCTTATTATGCATGAAGGAATTGGTTACAATTAGTTTGCAGAACCCACATTTGACTGGATTGCTTGCGGATTTGGTGTCTGTCTCCACACTAGAGTATCGTGAATTGGATGACAAATATGAAGAAGCCTCTAGGATTGATGATCAGCATATAAGAATCAAAGAATTGTTCGTTGCCAAAGTTTTGAAGCCATTGTTCAGCGAGCTTCTCGCCCAATCATATTTGCATGAAATTGAGGTAACTTCGTTAACCCATTCCTCTTTATGCATCATGTTAGGAAACTTGTGCTTTCATCCAAGTTGTATCAAGTTCCAAAGCAACACAGTTTCATGCATAATTTGTTCTCAGATTATCTCTGATATGCTATTGATGATTGGAGAAAAATTGCCATGCAAATGGAGGAACTCTCTTGGAGCCTGGAGTATTCAAGTCTGCAAAGGCAATGTCATAAAGAACTCCAAGGTTGCAAGAAGTGTGGTTGCCCTTGCTATCTGTTTAAGCTCCCCACCAAGTGATTTAATTGTAGCTCAAGACATGGCTAAGGAGCTGTTAAAAGTCACTGGATCAGAGACAAGTGACAACACATCAGACGTGTCTGAATCATACTCTATCGTAAACCAGTCAACAAGCACTAGCATAATTTCTTGCTTACAGAAATTAATGGAAGCAATTATTGTTGATATCGATTGGGCCATCAAAAAATTGAAGACATTTACTCTGGTATCTCAAAAGAGCATTCATTTTAGTCAAAAAGAAGAACAAGTTACAGGATTGGAATATGAAAACAATCTTTACTCCAGGGCTGAAGCAGTGGTGAAAGTACTGTCTTGCTTTGTTTTAACGAATCTCAAGGGTAAGTAAGCTGTAGCACAGACAACTGAATCTCTTTATCTGTCAGCCTCTCTGTCATGTATTTCATTTTCTGTGATATATGCAGAACCTCAAGCAGAGCATTTGCTTAGATTGACTGCAAAATTTTACAAGCATTTAGCTCGGATGTCAAGGCTCAGGATTGCTTCCAAAGGATGCAAGCAACTCTTACCTAGTCTTGCTTTCCAGAAGCTTGTTGAACTAACTTGCAAGCAGCTCACTGTTCCTCTTTATAACTTTGTTGCAGAGATGCAAAGGGTATAGTCCTATAATATATGGTCAATCTTTTTTCTCATCATATCCTGTAGCATTGATCCCATGGAATTTAGTATTGTGGTTGTCTTTCAAAAGGTTGTTGACGGGCCCTATGGTACCTGCAGGAGCAAGAAAATGCTAACAGCAAGTGTACCACGAACAAGATAAAGAGGGAGAATAAGTGCATTCCCAACTTGATCTTCCAGATAGAAGTTTATGAAAAACATCTGATCCAGCTGAGCAAGGTGAGCAAAGTCAATTTATTGCGGCATGCCAAGCGTAGCACTTCCAGGGATTTCAAAATAATAGATTCAAGGAAGATTATTAGGGAAGAAAATGATCCCAATCATGAGCCTGTCTATCATGCTGCTACTGCTGCTGAGAATGGATCATCTGAGTCCGGAGTCAAAGAAGGTAATGAATCAGGCAAGGTTTTGTCTTCTCAGTGTGGTAGTCCATTGGCTGAGGAGGAATCTGAATCAGATGGTGAGAATGGAGGTGCCCTTCCTCTTGCCAAGAGGGTGAAGAGGGGCAAAGTTGTGCAAGATTCTGATGATGAAGCATAAAGGCAAAACGCTGGAAATTGATGTGGATAATAGAATATATAGGGTTTCTTATCTTAGAAGGTTGTAGTTACAAGCTTTACATGGAGGTAATAAAACAATAGGCTCTGAATTAAATGATCGATCTTCTAATAGGTCAGACAATGATTTTCTAGTGAGTTGATACTAATTCTTTGTTCAAATATTAGAAATAATCTCTCGGATATTCAGAAATAGCTTTTATTGAATAAGAACGTGGAGCATGTTTCCACGCTGACATTGAGAATTATCTTTTATCCGGGTTGCAGCCGTCGTAATATTATACAAGTATGATCATGATATAAAATTATGAGAAGATGCTTGGAATCATGCACTTAGCCACGATGCTGCTACTGCTGTTGAGAAAAAAGATCATATGAGTTTTCCGAAATCGGGATATTGAACAGGAACGTTTTTCACCAGTTGAGAAGGAATTCCAGGCTTCTGGTGAGGAGGTGCCTTCTCCAATGTCAAGAGAGCGAAGAGTACAGTTGATCAAATTTCTTTGCGGTACCTATCCATTATTCATGTTATGATAGGCAACCCAATATTATCCATGTTAATGAAATTTCTGTGTTAAAATCGACCTTACGTCGGGAAATTATATGGAAAAGTTGATTTCTTTAGTTAAGGATTCAGGGTACGGTAGTACAATGATTATTAATTCTGTATGGACAACTTTATGATTATTATATTTTTTAAAAATAATATTAAAAGTCAGTAGATGGGTAGATTGGCAAGGATTATTCTCTCTGAAAGTTCCTAGATTCTTCAGGAATGCAAATTTCCCATCACAGAAGCTGAAGCTTGATACAGATTGTGATCCAAAAAACTTTATTATCTAGGTCAAAAGATTTACTTTTCTACTTGCATCGAAATTTAGGAGAAAGTTACCTTTTGGGTATGGGTTTATTTTTAAAGTTATCATTATCTTGTTGGAATAATTAAAACTAAATCAGAGTTTGAATGTAACAAGGAGTCTAAATAGTTTGAGTTTTTTTTTCTTTTTTTATTTTAATTTAGATAAAAAGTCATAAAAAAGATGTAACATTTAGAATATATATATATATATATATAAAAGAAGAGTCCTAAAACAAATATGAGATTAGAGTTTTGTAATTCATGATGGATGTATTTTTTTGTCCCATCTTATCTTGTTGTAGTTGAATTTTTGCAAGGAGAAATTGAGCCTTGCATGGCCGCCACTAACTAGTATAAATAGGGTCTTACGTTTGTAGCGAGACACGTTTTGAAGATTAATAAAATTCTTGATTAGATCATTCAAGGTGGTGCTATTGATTAACCAATCTAACTAAAGGTGTAGTAGGGTTCTTAATCTTGCCAAAGTCATCTAAGGTTACATCACTTGGTAAGATTGTAGTACAGCTTTGTTAAGAACTTTGTCAAAACCAATCAAGAGCTAGGGTTTTCTATCTATTCAAGTTTTGACCTATACAACTCCAAGGTTGGAACTTCCTTTCATCCATTAATTTTCAAGATGAGGGCCATGGATTCCTTAGTCCTTTAAGAGATTCAATTCTGCAAGCAACATAAAAGTAACTTAAGAGCATTGGGATTGTTTTAATTATTCACTAAAATAATGTCAACTTGGTATTAGAGTTAATGTTGCTTCCTTACATGTTCTTTGACTAATTTTATGGAGATTCCACCCCAAAGATATCGGATAAGTTGTGTTACTATGCTTGAATTACCAAATAAGAATGCTTGTTTTCTTGACGAGTTGCAAGAGTACGAAAAAAGAGATAGAAAAGCGATCGGCCAAAAGGCGGAAGATCAAGAGGAGGATGAGAAAGTACAAATTCTTTTGAAGTTTTGAGAATTGATTCATCCACAAATGATAGACATTTTTTCCAATAGCTAAATTGAGTGGTTAGAAGGCCATAACCTTAACACCATGGCTTTAGAGTCAAAGTCAACGTATCGAATTTGAAGGAAGACTCAATCCCAATGATTTTATTAATTATATGCATACTATTGAGAGGGTCTTTTAAAGAGGTTTTGAAGAATAAAAAGGTTAAGCTTGTTCGTTGTCAAGCTAACAAAAAATGCTTATACGTGGTGAGAGAACTTGAAGTGACAACTATTTGGAGAAGTCAAGCTGAAAATCACTACTTGAAAAAAGATAAAGAAAGCTCTCAATCATATGTATTTTTTTGACTTCTATAAGATACTTATATCGGATTTCACACTTTTAAGCAAAGACCCTTGAGTGTTGAAGCATATACCACTGGATTTCAACAACGTATGTTAAAATGTGAAATTTATGAACTAGAAGATTTGCATGTCTTTTTGGAGGAATATAATCCAATATTGCGGAGCGGTTCAATTGTAACAATACCACACTTTATATTATATCATTAAGTCTGTCTCTAAAACTTGAAAAGCATCACAAGACATCTAGATGAAGTAGTGGTAGAGTCTCGGCTAGAAAGACTCAATCTAGACCCAATACTTTGGCTAGGGTTTCAAGTCAACCTAAAAAGTGGAGAACTAGAGCCATGAGAGGTTCCAATAAAAACACTTTGGGTTCAAACTCTAATTTTTGAAAGCTATTCAAATGCCATGGTTTTGGACACATTACTTTTGATTGTCCAAATCGCGAGTGGTTAGTTTGTAGAAGAAGCCAAATAGGAAGAAGCTTTACTTGATGGAGTAGATGATTCAGTTGAGAATGAGATTGAGAATAGAATTGAAGAGGAGATCTATGCAAACGACTATGAGTTTTAGTTCTTTGTAGGGATCTTAATATCGAAATGGTGTCGAAAAAAAATGGCTTAGACATAACATCTTTCACACCTCATTGCACATCTACCAAGTGTTAACCATCTAAATCCATACAAGCTTACATAGTTAAGAAAAGGAAATGACATCAAGGTAACAAATAGATGCCATGTTTGATTCTCAATAGGCAAACAATAATAAGACAAGGTGTGTGCGATATGATTCCTATGGATACATGACATATCTTATTAGGAAGACCATGACAATTTGATAGATAATTAGTTCATGATGGATACATGAACACATACTCTTTTGAACTAAACGGAGAGAAGATTGTACTCATGCCTTTGCAAGGAGGAAATTTGTCCAAATCACAAAGTGGTAAAAAGAGGTTATTTTAAAGTCTATGTTTATGAGACCGTTAGAGGAGATAGAGGTGGCTTATGCGGTGGGGGTTATGAAAAAAATAAATGACAAAATGAGATTCTAAAAGGTGGAGCCATTAATTAAATAATACAAAAAAGTGATGCCAAACAAAATTTCAAAAGGATGACCATCCGTGTGAGACATTCAACATGTCATTAAAATTATTTTAGGTTTAATTATACCTCATAAATCCACATATCAAACGAGTCAAAGGGGCACGAAGAGCTAGAATGACAAGTAACCTAACTCTTGGACAAAAGATTGGTAAAGAAAAATGTTTGTCCATATGCCGTACTTGCACTATTAGTGCCAAAGAAAAATGTTTCACGGAGAATTTACATTGGTAGTAGAGTTGTGAACAAGATTACAATCCAAGTATCGGTTTCTTATTTCAAGGCTTGGTGATTTTTTAGATCAATTACATAAAGCTATCGTCTTTTTAAAAATAAACCGAGGAGTAGATACAATCAAATTAGAATGCGGCTAGATGTTGAATGAAAGAAGGCTTTCAAAACTTGAGATGGTCTATATGAATGGATGGTGATGCCATTTGGATTATCTAATACACCGAATACCTTTATGAAACTTGCGAAGTATTTTTTCCTTACATAGGTAAGTATGTTGTTATTTATTTTAACGACCATGCATGTCTCTAAATCAATTTATGCACCTTTATAATCATTATAATTTAAGCATGCAAAACTTATCTTGCCATTAAGCCCTTCCAATACTACAAGCAAAAGTAGTAAATCAAGAAATTTTTTTCTTTTCGGTATTCTAATTCTTCTTCAAGGCATATAACGATTATTTTCTAAGTAATCACTTGCATTTTATGTGAACACTAACATTTTTGTTGAAAGCAACTGATTACTCGGTAAGTCATAAACTTAGAGTGCTTTGCATACTCATGATTTAAGTTGCAATTTGACGTAAGAGTAAACATTGATGATGAATACTCCCGGTTACTAATCAACTCAAGACATTGGAGTAGATTTATAATTTAATCAATAAGGTCAAAATTTCAACTTAGAGTGTTTTTCTTTTTCTTTCTCAAAATTAAATAATTAACTAAAAAATCTCGTTTTACTTAAATGATGCTTAGGCCAAGTGTCAAAAGGTAATTTCAAAACAAACATTACTTCAAAAATCATGCTTAATCATAAAGACAAATAAATTGTTCTAACATGCATGCACTTCCATAATAATAACATTCAAAACAATCATAACTTTCTCATAATACCTTGTAAAATATTCTACATTAATCATCAAGTAAGATGGATATTATACTACTCATGGTATTTGATTTTTTTTTTTTTTAACTAAGATAAATTCTAAATTCCAAATTTAAAAGTCCCGAATTCCTTCCCCCATGCTCGAATATGACATTGTCCTAATGGCAATAAATAAGAATGATAAAAAATGGTAAAAAGAGTGAAAGAGAAACTCCATTATTGTTTACCATTGATAAGTGCGAGGGTATCATTCAAGCATCTTCGACTAGAGGCAAAGGAGGTGGGAAGTGTTGGCCGACATAGGTGGAGAAAGTATTGATTCTAACATCTATATGGTGAAAACTTTCCACCATATGTTGATCCACCATATGTATTTAGTGATCCATGTGGTCAAAATGACTATTATAAGAGATCTCTAAGTTATCCATACGAGCTACCAGTTGCTCTAAAGTTAATGATTGGGAACCTAAAGCACCATCATTAGGAACCTATCTAGCTGCTACCTCTTCACTCGTATTATCCTCCTACTCCTTATCACTATTAGAAGGTTAGGCCTCCTCTTGAGTGTGAAGTCATGTTATTGGTCTAACTTGAAATGTGTTGCTCGTAGTTCTTGACCAAACCAATCTTGACTATATTTTCCAAGTTCAAACGAGTGGTTCCCTTAGCTTTTGGAAAAGTTGTATTGTTTTTGCCAAAAATCTGATATGAGTAATAAAATCCCCAATCATAATGCCTCCCCATACGATTTAGAAACGATTTTGAATTTCTCAACCAAGTAGCAAGCAAAGTCCACCCGAATCCATGTTGAGATGAAATACAAGATGTCAAGCTCCACTTTATTCACTACCCCATTACTATTCCCATGACCACATAACATTCAAAAGAGAAGTCGATAAATGTAATGATATGTCGAGCTCAAAATTACGAAGCCTTAGATTGGGAAAGTTCTAGATAGCATTTGGTCGATCTTTAATGTCTTACCAAAGATCCTTTTCATATTTGGAAGGAGGTTGCTAGTTCCATCAATTGACTAAAAGCCTTATTGTATTTGGAAGTAGTTTGCCTAGTTCCATCAATTAACTAATCAAATATCTCGGTAATTTTGGTCTCC